TTAATGAGATGATTCGTCTAATTTTAAAGTATATATATTTCTGCTGCTGTGAAATAACAATGTCCTCAAAACTCAATAACAATATTATACTATTTTGTTTTGACTTTTGAGTCGTTTTATTTATTGGTCCGAGATGTCATCAGGCGTGCTTCAGGCCTCCATGATATTTCAAAACGTCTCTGCTGGAAAAAATCTAAATTCGTCTTGTTTATGAGTTTGGATCCAATGCTTAAACGAAACTGGTTTTAATGGCAGCCAAGGTGATTTCACATTATGAGCTTCATTAATTAATGATGTTTGTGTGCCGTTTTTCACCGTAGCGTTCCTTAAGCCCAAAGCTAACTGTCTTTTTCTCAACATGGTATGGCATTTACTCTCATTTCGGTAGGCCTATATGTTTTTTTTTCTTATGCAATAATCCAGGTGTTTAAACATTATAGCAACAGAAATGTGCTCCATTAACAGACTGAGTATAACATAAGAAATTCAGGTGTAAAAGTGGCAACAGCAATAAGAGTGAAATCGGGGATAATATATAAAACATGTTAAGTAACAGTGTAAATTACAAATTCAACAACAGAAGGAGGTAAAACTGTAAACATAAATACTATAATAATATAGCCATAATGCACATGTTAGGGCCACATCTGGTTTGTTCATTGAGCAATACGTGTCCTAAATTATAGAAGATGACACATGGTTGCAACAGAGGCACATATCATTCAAACACCAGAAAAAAAAGCATCTAGCCAATAATCTGTTGGTGTACAGAGTGCATATCAATTACCTCCTCTATGAGAGAAACATCTGTGAACATCTGTGCAAGATAAACTCAATTTGTGTCCAATAACAGTGCTCAAGTGCAGCCCACCTGCAGAGGAAAATACATATGAAAAATAAACTTTAAATGTTATTTTACACAGGTGAAACGATGGCTTTGTCCGTAAGTCTTCCAGTAAATCATGGCAGTGATAGCAACAGCAGGATAAATACATATTCTATTTAGCCACCATTTTGATTTTTACACCTGAGCTTTTTGTTTTTAGAATAAAAAAGCCTGGCTATTCAGCATAGAATCTCTGGCATGCAAAACTAACACACATGCAGACATTTTGCATAATTATTATTTCATGATGTATATATTTTAGAAAGCCATTGCAGGCCATGATTTATATGTTCAATTCTCTGGGCATTTTCATCAGAATGTACAAGGTGCCATATTGTCTTCTTTCTGCAGTTAGGAACCTGAGCTGATTCACAGGCTATAAAATCAGCTCCCCGACAGAAAGCACAAAGCCTTTCTTATCAGTATATTTATTTTTGCATGGTCTGTTATCTGGTTATTTTTGAGAAGTGAAAGTGTTTCTCTGTTGCCCCAGTTGTTGCTTCCAACTCCAATTATTCTGAACGATTTCAATTGCTAAAATTTTACAATGGTGGTGCCATCTAATGATCTTAACTTAATGAGTGCTTTAAAGAAAAGTTAGTCCCAGCAACTAAACCTCCAACAATGCAAAAAGGCTGTGAGGTTTAAATTCCTGCAACACATATTAAAAGTCAAACATATCCAAGAGGTCTTCTGACAATCAGTGTGTGCTGCAAGGCAAAAGGAATTTTACTTTTTGTATTTGATTTTCATTTGAGTTTTTTGTTAGCGAATGGCATAATAGTGCTGGATTTGTGTGTGTGTGTGTGTGTGTGTGTGTGTGTGTGTGTGTGTGTGTGTGTGTGTGTGTGTGTGTGTGTTTGTGTATTATTGTACTAAGCAGACCCATTTTGGGCTCAAGGTCAAAGGCTGTTTTTTGCTCACTTTCCAGAATACAGTGGGGGTAATGAAGTGATACATATGAGGTTTTTATAGGTTTATATTTAATGCTAGCTATGTTTCTTATTCGGTTTAAATAGCTTATTATTGCTTTACTTTGGGGGGGTTTACAACTAATTCGAGTGGAAAGAGAAAGAGGGAGACCCTGTTTATGAACGTTTATAGGTTGGATAATTGGCCAAGAATTATCCAACCTTCAACAAGCGTGTTAGGATTAAAAATATTATATCTGGCCATGTATTTACCAATCTGCTTATATCTGTCAAAGTCTGACTATGGCTCATTTTTAACGGAGAACACAGCTTCCGTAAGACTGTCACTGTACCGGCGCTGCTGCCACCTAAAGCCCCGTCAGCAGTGTCTTTCTCCGGGGAAATACATTCTCTACCAGGAAAACCGAGCCGAAGCTAACGATAACGAATCCCGGGGTGAACTATCCTCGGATAAAGACTGTTTTCTGCGCCTCTGATTCCAGTTTTTACGCACAAGCTTGGAGTGGAGCCTCCCTTGCACAAACACTGCCTCAAATTCCGGACTCACACCTCCTCTCCCTGGGTCAAACACAGTCCTGCTGCCGGTTTATGACCCGTTTTTTTACAGAAGAGGAAGTGGATCCAGTAACAGCAAAATGTGAAGAACTGGGCCGAGTGTAAAAGGCTGTGACACCGGGGGTAG